CTTAAAAAATTAAAACTAACCACAGTAAAGAGGCTACAGGGCTGGAGCATTTCCTGCAGCAGGAGCACTACTCCCCATTGGTTCCCCAGCGCCTGTGCTGAGATGAGAGTGGCCAGTGGGGCATTCTCGGAGCCCAGGCCTGTGCACATCTACACAGCAAGAGAGGTCATTTTGAAATTTGTCATGAATGAAGGAATGTTTTGTTCCAGACAGTTCTTTTAGGACAAGACTGTTCCTTCAATTGCAGGCATTCTGCATTCTTGGTCCTCACTCACTAAATGTAACAAACAACCCCCTAAATATTATGACAACCAAACACCCCCTTTTTGCCCTGTTTCCAAATACTCCCTTTAGCGAGGCACCACCTCTGACAAAGAAATCATTTTAACATCAATTTGTCCTCTGGCCCTGGAAATACTCTTCTGAAACAGGCCACTATATCTTTGCCAGAAGCCACAAAGCCCAAGAATACATCTCTTTACAAGGAGAGGGTGAAAGTATACAACACTTAAAAGAGTGAATTGTTTATGGTTTCTCAGAAAAACTGGACTCCTTGTGTATACTAACTAAGGAATCAGAAATTGAAACAAATTTCCAATGGTAGCATATAAATAATAAGCTGTGTTGACACTACAAATAAAATCCCAGAAGAACCCAGATTCTCAGTGAATGTATAATACGCATCAACATGACATCGATATAGTTGATATTTTTTGATTGTTTGCAATGTATCAGCACTTTTCCAACTCTCATTGTCTTTTCTGCAAATGTGGAGTACTTGTATCCCCTCACACAGATGAGAGTTCTGATGCCGAGTTGGGACGGAGTTTGACCAAGACCTCCTGACTGAGGAAGGGACAGAAGCAGGGTTCAAGCTGAATTCTGTGCGACCAAAAATCTCAATTTTACCCACATGACCAGCAGTTGTGGTGCTTAGTCAGTCAGCCTTACTTTCTAATACTAGAGTTAACTGAAATCCCCAACTTATGAACCAGGCTGTTGATAGTGACACTGAAAACAATTATTCTGCACTGTGTTCTTCCAGAAATGTTATTTCTCATTATTGCAAGCACTGCTCTCAGCAGGTCACCTCATTAGCTGAAGAAAATGTCCCCTGTTGTTCTGTGTGGGACGGATCAGATAGAGAAGCTTAAAAACAAACTCCAGAAAGTGATTCTGTGTCCCTTCATTTAGGGTATGGAACAGTAATCCCCTTCTTTTCTGATCCTTGGCCTCCTAAGTGATGTTTTAGGTGTGTAGTAGCAGAAGTGTTTTGAAAGATAAAAAAGTTTTACAGAGTTGCTATCCAGAATTCTTTTATCAGTGTTTCCATAGCCGAGTAAATTGGAGTGTTGAGCAATTGGTGAATGCCCTTGTCTAAGCAGAACAAGGCACAGTTCTGCTTGCTTCAGTAGCCTCATGCTGAAGCTTATCAAAAATTTCAGGGTCGGGGCCTCCCCTGGTGGCGCAGCAGTTGAGCACTGGGCTGTGAGGCTGCCCCAGCCTCTGTAGTGCCGGTTTGATCCCCAGCCGCCAGTGAGGATCCCACATGGCACGCAGACCTCTCCTGCCGCATCTGCTGCTCCCCTCAGCAGTGCATTTCGTCAGTCGGCCTGCTCTGCTCCCTGCTCTGGCTCTGGTGAATTATCTCACCCTCCCGCGCTTCTGACTCTACCCAGTGCTTGTATAAATAAACAGGCCTTTAAAAAAAAAAAAATTCAGGGTGAACATCAGACCATCCCAAATATTCCATTTTATGCTTTCTTCTGTGCTTTCTCGCTCTTTTTTGAAAGATTTATTTATTTATGAATACAAGGAGTGTGGTACAAGAGGTGTGGGGGGTGAGAGGATTCACCAGAGACAGAGTGGCGAGCAGAACAGCAGACTGACTGAAATACACTGCTGAGGGGAGCAGCGGGCGTGTCAGGAGAGGTCTGCTGTGTCATGTGGGTACTCCCTGACCAGCCGGGGATCAAACTTTTGCTGCAGTGGCTGCGGACAGCTTCACAGTGCTGTGCTTAACCCCTTGCGCCACCAGGGAGGCCCCTCTCCTGTGCCCTCTTACCTGAAAAAGATAAATTCTTAGTACTTGTCTGTTTAAATGTTTGCATGTTGTAAAATAACAGTTCAGCTAGATGGTTCTATTTGGCTATGAGGAATGAGTAAGAGTGAGACTTTTCATTTTGATTTTAATCTAGAACAACCTCAATTACAAGTACTTCATCTAATGTCTTGATACATCAAATATATTGATATTGATCGATAGCTTTTTCCCCATCATAGGTGATAGAAACAATCCATAAAATCCTCTTATTTTGCTCCCTTTAAATTTATTATCTATAGAGAAGCCAAAATGATCATTTCAAAATACATTTAACCATGGGCTTTGTATTTCATTTACAATAAAGTCAAAATGCTTCATCATGGACCACCAGGCCCATGTGATTTTTTCCACTTCTCCCTCTCCTGGCCTTCCCTTTTCTTTTCACCTCCCACTCACTACCTCAACTTCTCTATTTTTGTGTCAGAAATTTTGCATCTACTGTGCCTCTGCATGAAACATTGTTCTCTCCTGATCTTTAGTTGGCTGATACCACCTTACGTTTCAAGTTGCCTTTCAACAGAATGTTATTCATGCTTGATTCCCTAAGTTGGTCATCCTGTATCTCCACTCACATTATAGTCTTTTGTTTTGTTTTGAAGCACTTTTTTTCCACCTTTGAATGATGTTATTTATTATTTCCTTTATTTGCTTCTTTTCTGTTAAACTATAATGAAAGCAGAAACTTTTCCCATTGTAACCCTCTGCCTAGAATAGACCCAGAATATAATATGGTTCAAGAGTATTTATTAGGTGAATGAATCCGTGAATGAACAAATGAATGGTTTTGTGCTTAGAATTAAATAGAAATGTTAGATAAATAAGGTACAAAAATATTTGTTAACTGGATCAGAGCTACATGAATGTGGAGAAATTGAGATTTTATCAAAATATAAAGTTCCCTTTTATTATTCCTTGATCTATTTGTTAGGTGTAGGAATTCTGTTGGGAGTAGGGGGATAAACCCAGAAAAATCCAGAACTGTTTCACAGGGATACATTCCAGACCATGTTTCATCTCTCTAGAAATAGGCTTCTTTTACTAGGCACAGTTCTGCTTTCTTCAGCAGCCTCATGCTGAAGCGTATCAAAAATCTCAGGTGAACAGGAGACCATCCCCAAACACTCTATTTTATGCTTTTTTTCTGTGTTCTCTTACCTGAAAAGATAAATCCTTTGACATCTTCCTACTTATCATCATCCCTACCAGTCTAACAGCATTACACATCTGGCCTCCTCTACCAGCAGTGAACCTATTTTGCTTTAAGTCTTTGGGTTTCAAAAATAAATAACCTTTTCTCTAATGCCTGTGTATGTCCTAGATGTCCCTTTATTGAGTTCACAGAATACAAATAGGGAAAGGTTATTATAAGACGGAAATGTTTAAAAATGAAAATCAAACCAAATCATGGATCCAGACAACTGGAGAAAGGAATATAATATTTATAAAACTGAGTAGGAAGTTGCAATCAATGCTCTAAAATAAAACATTAAAAATTAATTCAAAGCAAGCCTGTCTGTGCTACAGCAAACATCTCTTTCATTAAGGGACCACGGCATGTTTCTCCAGAATTAGTTTCCCAAATAGGTAAGTAGCTTGTAACAACTATGTATTCTGCAAACTACAAAAGATCTAAGTAAGGCTTGGTTTACAGTTACCTTTAGTATCCAAGATGAAAATGCATACATTGTGCAAAAATGAAAAATGATGTAAAAATATATAAAATAAAAAAAATAAAATATACAAAGTACAAAAAAATTAATGGCCTTTAAATTTCAACTATTATGATTCTTGCTGTTTGTCTACATTTTTTGTCCTTGAGTATTACCAGGAAAGTTTAATTCACATGATGCTTATTCATCTTCATTTGATTAATCAAGTGGTACTATATCATTTTATGAATTCATATGTTGTAGAATATTAAATGCTAGGTAACTATAGGTTTTCTCTTAAAATTTTCATTTCAAAAATGCATGTTTCACATTTTTTGAAACTTTTTCTCCCAGTCTTCTTCATCTTTTTCTCTTCTTCCTCCTCATTACTATATTATTATTGTTGTTATTGTTGTTGTCATCATGTTCCTATCTTGGAATACACTGAAAGAAAGAAAACTGAAATTGCTAGTGATATTTTGCATTCACTAGTGAGATGAGATTCATATTTTGCCCTATTTATACCATTCTTCTGAATCCTTAAAATAAATAACCTTATAACCTTTAGGTTCTATTGACTTTTTTTAGTGATTTCAAATAAAAAGCATTCAGTTTCCTTTGTATTGACAAACTGTCTAGTCACTGGGCAAAGCCTATTGGATTCCTATTAAATGGAGGGGCAAAATACAAGAGAAAATCCAAAAAGCAGCTTTGAGGTAGAGGGAGAGGTAGTCTCTGCTCAGTTCAGTAAATGGGTATTTAACCTTTGACCAATGATGACAGGTCTCCTTTAGTTCTATTAGACCAAGAGCAAGCTGTTATGATTAAATAAAAAAAAAAAAAAAAAAACAGTTTAGAGCCATACTGAATATGTCCTGGGAATTAAAGCATATGGCAGGGATAAGGAAAAAAGATTTTCCTTATGCTAATGACCCTTGATGTCTGAAATAAATTAGATCCATTAGAGTTTATGCTCAATAAAAGAAAGACTTTAAGCACTCCAAAGTTAGTGACTCGAGACCAGTTTTTACTCTGAAATTCAATCTGCCTACTTATTAATTCTTAGTAAGACTCCCGAGCAGACAGGAGATGCAGAATCATAATTCTGTGCTGAACCAGAAGTTTAAAAGACCACAGGTTTCTTTTTCTATTCTTTTAATTAAACCATTTTTCATGCCTCTCATTTTGTTTCCCTCATTAATTTGATTTTGTTCCCATTTTCGTTTCATTTTTTGTTTCTTTTCAAGGTTTCATTTATCCTATTTCAACTGAACACAGAACCCAGAATGAATATGGATTTTCTTGTAAGTTGGATGTTTGGTTTTTATGTTGCTGTATAATCATTTAATGTTATTGCCCCCAGTTCAAGTTTACCTTTCTTTCCATCACAGATGTGCACACAGGAAATAGGCACCTAATATATTCTAACATGAAAAACAAATTAGATTTTCACTGCTGAAGAGAAGAAAGGGTCATTTCAAGTCCCTGCCAGCTTTAAAATCTGTCAGTCTACCATTCAAAGCTTGAGTCCCAGTGAATGACAAAACATGTCATGAGATACACTGATATAAATAAAGGGCAGGGTTCAAATGCTAAAAATAAAAGGCTGAGAAAATGCAGATCTTTTGAGTTAGAAATCATGAATGTTGAATAAGTAATCATGGCCTAGAAAAGTAAAACATTAGGGATATAGATAGAATAGTCTGACCAGAGTTCAGAATGCCGCCACAGGGCCTCCAATAAAATCCAGCAGTAAAGTGAAGTCAGCACTTTGGAAACAGTGCTTACACAACCAGTAGTGTGTAGATACCACTAGTGGTCTGAAAATATCTGCCAGTTGTGACTTTACTGACAAGAAGTTGAGTTTTCTGGAAATATTGGATAAGATGATGGTTTATAAAGGAAAATAAACTGTTTCACATATAGTAAATTTTAACACAAAATGGTAAGAGCCATGTGGTGATTGCTAAGCAGGAACCCCTTTACAGTCGTATCAGAAATAACATGAGGTGAGTGTGTCGGAGGCCCCACGAGCCACTGGTAATCTAAGTAACCAGTCATTTCACCGTATAAATCCTGTGACTGTGAACCATAGAGAGAATAGTGATTCCTCAGTGTTTACTTCATGAGACTTACACATCTGAATACCATCTCCCCAGGAAATGTACATGCATAGGAAGTTGAACCTAAATAGTTTGCTTTTGACGACCTGCAAACCCAATTGAATCACCTTTTTTGTAGTGAGCAGTGTTAACTTCATTGAAAATTTTTATGGGTTATGGAAAACTAAAAACAGAGTCTTAAAGATGTCAGTGGGGGTTTGAGAAGGTTTAATTTTGTTTGTTTTGTTGTAATTATCAGTGTCCGTCACCTTTTGCAGTTGGCCGTAAAACATGTTCTGTACCACCAAGGCAACTTGCAATGTCCGTCACCTTTTGCAGTTGGCCGTAAAACATGTTCTATACCAGCAAGGCAACATGCAGCATTTACAGGGATTTTCTTCTTGGTTTACCCAGAAGCAGACCCCCAACGGACTGAACACTGTGTTGGTCAAATGCTTATTTGCCTTCTGGGGTAGTGTGACCTTTCTGAAGGCTGAACCAGCCTTTATCTTACTCAGTGCACTATATATATATATATATATATATATATATTCCAGCAATGACTAGCTCAAATGTAAATGTCCAACAAGAATCTATAGACGCTTAGGGCTCTCAGAGGTATTTCTAACTCTGTATCAAAGTCCCCAGAGTTATTGACATTGACCTCTGCTCCCAGATCTGGTTTTCTGAAAGCACACCTTTCAAATCCAACATGTTTGCTTTGCTTAGGTATACCATTTCCACCTGTCCTTCATTGATTTAGGGGAAAAGTGAGAAGAGTGCTGTGGAAAGTAATTTTATGACTTCTGGTTCGATAAATATACAGATTCCAAACATGCCAGCTATTTCTAACAGAGTGTTTGTGTTTATGTTTTTAAAGAACTATCTGTGAATTCAAAACCACCCTCCAAACATTTTCACCTTGAATCAGTAATATGTTTCCCCCCTGTGGGTTGGGGTGGTTTTAGATCTAGCTTGTTTTTATGCCTCCTAATAAATGGTCTGTTATGCTGCCCAATTTAAGATAGATTAGTGGGTGGATAGATGAATAATGAGGAGAAAAAAGAAGTCACGGAGCATTTTCTGCTGAAATGCCACAGTGCTTCACATCATCCCTCCCCACCCCTGCTTCATATCATTTTTGAAACAGATTTAAAATTAACCTATCAAAAGGCAATAAATGTCTGAAAAAAAATTATAGCAATACATAGTACTGCGGGAAATTTCTCTAACCAGTTAGTCCAATGTAACCTTTTCCCTTCTAGCTGCTCCTGATTCTGATGATGTTGCTCTGTATGTTGGCATCGTGATAGCCGTGATAGTTTGTCTGGCCATTTCTGTAGTCGTGGCCCTATTTGTGTATCGGAAAAATCATCGTGACTTTGAGTCTGATATAATTGACTCCTCAGCACTCAATGGAGGCTTTCAGCCTGTGAACATCAAGGCAGCGAGACAAGGTCAGTTAACATTGCCCTTCACTTACAACGTATGCATCTAATCAGTCTCCCTGTATGATTTCAAAACTTGGTGAAAATCAAGTAATTCAATTTAGTTAGAAAGGACACTCGAGGAAGACAGGTATTTTGATCTGCTTTGTTCATTATTGTATTAACTTCATTCATATGAACAAATTAGAGCTGAAAGGCACTCAAATAAATTTTCTCTTCTTTAGCAGATTTTTCTGTCATACTTATTAACTTTTAATTGAAAAGAGTACATGGATTGGTTGACTGATTTTTTGAGTTTCCTTTGTCTTCCTTTTGACAAGACATATTGCTGTGAATATAGTGTTCTACAAATGAACTCAAATTTAGATAGATGAGGGAAATTATGACCTAATGATCACCTAGTGTGAATCATTGTCTTGGAATCCAATTTTTTGAGATTGTTAAATACCTTAGGAGTAATGAGTAGACTAAAAGGCAAAATATTCAATGGGCTTGTCTACTTATTTGGAGCCAAAAAAATAATGGATCCTAGTTATGTAATGGTCCAATTTTCAGTACAACCTGTGTGTGTGTGTGTGTGTGTATAAATAATGTTTACAGTGTAGCTTTGCTGTTGGCTCAGAAAGTGCTAGGGGTTGTCTAACAAATGTGAGTTGCCTGAATGAGTATGCAAATGAACTTCCTTTCTCTTTCAGACATCCTGGCTGTACCCCCAGACCTCACTTCAGCTGCAGCCATGTACAGAGGACCTGTTTATGCTTTGCATGATGTCTCAGACAAGATCCCAATGACCAATTCTCCAATTCTGGATCCACTGCCTAATCTGAAAATCAAAGTATACAACACCTCAGGTGCTATCACCCCCCAAGATGACCTCTCTGAGTTTGCATCAAAGCTGTCCCCTCAGATGACCCAATCGTTGTTGGAAAATGAGGCTCTCAATCTGAAGAATCAAAGTCTAGCAAGACAGACTGACCCATCCTGCACTGCATTTGGCACCTTCAACTCCCTTGGAGGTCACCTTATTGTTCCCAATTCAGGTAATTCCTAAAGATTGAAACTGTAATGATAGAGCTTGAAAAAATTATTTTTATTTGTTTTCATTAGGCCTGAAATGTTAAATGTAACCTATCTAACCCAAATCTAACTCTCAACATAAACCAAACGTTATTTCAGACAAAATCAGCCAAGCATTTATCTTCTTCCAGTAATTCTGAGAACACCTCTTCTTGAAATATTATGCGCAACTTTTTGCTAAGCTATAATTTAGAACTGTATTGACCTTCTTTTTTATAGAGCTTCACAAGTCAACATCAAGCTGGAAGCCTTCCCTGCTGTCATCACACTTTTAAAGGACAAATTAATTAGAAAACATATCAGTTGGTTCAGTCCCAATTCACTACAGGAAGCGATACTTTGGAATACTGATACTTAGAGCATCAGAGAACATTACAATAAACATCAAATCTTCATTTACTAACTTTGCTCTATATTGCACAAAGTACAAAGGTACTCACCCCATCTCTAATATCTAGAGACATAATTTCATCATGCGTCCTTTTGTAATATTACTTAGTTTTAATTTATTATTTAATTATCTGCTTCTAAAGCACAAGCCACATGAAGATCTTAACTGGTAAGTTAATGAATGATAGTGTTTGATTAAAGTTCTGTATTCACTAATCAATGATAGTTTGGGTTTAGAATCTTGGTCATAAGCAGATTAATGGAATCTGTCTTAGCTGTGACTCTGCCTTAGCTCTGTGAATCCACCTTAGCTCCTTTAGGCAAGACTGAGTATTTCATGAACACAGCACTAAGAAATACTTTGATTAACCTACAGTATTCATGAAGCATAAACATATAATGCGTGAACAGTCAAATCACTTTGTTATACAGAAATTGTTTGTCTCAGGTCTGAATATGAACTTTGTGTTTGATTTTCCTCTAACTTTGCCCTCCATTTCAATGGCTTGACAATTTTTCACCCCACACTTTTAATAGCATATTTTAAGGTCTTTAAATATGTAATGGAATATCGTTTTCCGTTTTAATGCATTTCATGTTGAAATCACATATATATTACTTTTTAAACTTTTTCTCATTGAGTTTTCATACATGCTATTGTATGTTCTTTAAAAACCATGATTTTGGGCTTCCCCGGTGGCGCAGCGGTTGAGCGCTGGGTTGCGAAGCTGCCCGCGGCCTCTGCGGCGCCGGTTCGATCCCCGGCTGCTCCCCGGCCACCAGAGGAGGGTCCCACATGGCGCGCAGACCTCTCCTGCCGCCCGCTGCTCCCCTCAGCAGTGTGCTTCGGTCCTTCTGCCTGCTCTGCTCCCCGCTCTGGCTCTGGTGAATTCTCTCACCCTCCCGCGCTTCTGACTGTGCCCCAGTGCTTGTATAAATAAATAAATAAATCTTTAAAAAAAAAAAAAATAAAAACCATGATTTTAAGTATATAGTTTTGTAGTTTAGCAAGTGAATAAATCAAAATATATTCCGTTTTTTCCATTGTTTAAACATGATATTATTCCCAAGATAGTTTTTTTTCCCCATGATATTCACTGGATTCTGCCTTTCTTTCACATTTCTATACCTCTTACTTTTTCATATATTAAATTATTATAAAAGCTTCTTAAATGGGAAGGAGGGAGCTACCCTGTATTATCTACTTTGCATACAGTCAACAATGGTAATTTGCATACATTATTTTATAAAGTAGAGTAACAATAGCTACCTAGTATGTGTCATGACTTACTCATGTTATATCCATAATTCCATTCCATCCCCATAATGAACACAAAGGTACATTTTATTATCCCCATTGTAAAAAGTAAAACACTGAGGCTTAACAGACTCACCTGTGGGCATTGTACTCTACTCTGTGCTCACCATGCCATTCTGTGCACGGATGTGACGTTCTAATTCCCCCAACACCACAGCTCTCAATATTTTCCTTCTCAAGAAGATTATAACTCAACACTGTCAACCAGTCATACCCAAGTTTACAAATGACTATCCCTACATGACTCTGTATTCTACATTCTTGAGACTTTCCAACTTGGTTGGGCCAATTTCCTTGTTGACATATGCTCAGGTGGCATATTCAATTTCCTTGCTTACTAAATCAAAGCCACTCAAAGACTGTAACACTGACTTGTGCATCTTGCTCTTCACAAAGTGCCAAATAGTGTATTCACAATGATGTTCCATAAATTTGTATTTAGTTGGATTAAACTGCATTTATTGGTATTAAAATCATGACACCAAATATCTTCAGGTGCTACCCACCTGAATCTCACTCTTCATGGTATTGCTGCAGTGGCCTGGGACAGTGGGCACAGACCATCATAGTTGGTATCATCCTGCAACTTATTAGAACTACCTGTTTCCTAAATCTTCTAAATCAGAATCTCTGGGGGTAAGATCCAAAATCATTACTTTAACAAGTCCTCCAGGTTATTCTGATATAAATTCAATTTCAATCCCTGCTGTAGACAATTAACATAGAGCAGAGTTCAGTCCAATATGCTACAAAACTGCATCATTTAAATGAATTAAACCTGGGGCCTGCCTGGTGGCCTCTGGGTTAAGTCTCAGTGCTATCGCTGCTACAGCCTGAGTTCAATCCCCAGCCAGGGAGCTAGCCCACAGGGTGCACCAGACCTCTCCTGTCTCACCTGTTCCTCCCCTCAGCAGTGTATTTCAGTAAATCTGCCTGTTCTGCTTCCCACTCTGTCTCTGATGAAACCTCTCACCCCACATCTTCTACACAAAAATAAATAAACAAAATAAATAAATCTTTAAAAAAAAAAATGAGTTAAACCTGCTTGACCTCCTGTGACTAAACTAGTAGTTGTTACTCACTTTTTCAAATTGTATCTGATAAAATAAGTTCTTCAAGAATTATTTTGTTATGGAAAATGTAATGCTAATCAAATATTTCAGAATAAATGTTGTCTACCATTATTGAAGTTAGCATTGCCCCCTGACTTTGAATCTTGTGGGAATTTTTTTTTTTTTAATTAGAAACCATGTATCATTACAGCTGTTTGAAATTTTAAGGGCAGTTGTTGATTTCCCTCTCATTTTGCAAGGAAAACAACAGCAGGACCATCTGTCTATTCTTTAAATAAAACAAGAATTTAAAAAATTACATCATTCCTTTAACTAAATCCATTAACAGTTCAGAGGGAGCTGTGGTAACAAATAAGGCCAGTAAGGAAGGAAAGTAAGGCAGCTGTGAATATTTACATGTCTTTAGGGAAAAAGAAGCAGGCTTATGGATACAGGACCACAAAATCCCCTCATTCCCTTTTCCTGGCTTCAAAAGCACTCTGTGAATTTTCTTTTGATTCATAGGTCTTATGACATTGCTTTTCTCTTTTGCTATTCAGGAGTAAGCTTGCTGATTCCCGCTGGGGCCATTCCCCAAGGGAGAGTCTACGAAATGTATGTGACTGTACACAGGAAAGAAAATATGAGGTAAATATGCTTTTTCTGGTGCACTTGACTTTATCAATATCTGACTTGGAGGAGAACTGTACAATAGAAAGAATAAACTCAATATATTTTTGTCTTTTTGTCTTGAGTGCTCTGCTCCCAGCCTAGTTTGTCCCCTCTACATGTATAAAATGTCAACTTTTACTTCTGTTTATCTTTCAAGCTTCAGTCTCTTGTAGATCTTGAATATAGGGGGAAGTCCAGTGTTCTTTTCGCAAGTCGATATGTAACTATAGTAGCCAAAAAAAAAAAAGGGGGTCAGAAATGTGATCCACAGATTTTTCCAGAGATCTGAGGGTAGATAGACATTTTCAGGAATCCAGACTATTGCCATGGTTAATTGTCACAAAAAGATAGACAACCTCTTAGCCCCTTACCTGCTCTCTCCACCTCAGCCTAGTACTTTATTTCATCTCCAGGTTCTTCTTTCTGTTACTTGCTTCTAGCTTAAGTATCACCAGTCTCCTTAAATGCAGCATGAATGGATTTCATAACTGGGCCTTTCTAAATGGATCTAGGGTTGATTAAACTAGATTAAATCAAAAGACCCTGTTTTGAAAGTGTTAAATTTTTTTTTTAGTTTTATTTGTATCTATTTTACATCATTCTTCATTTTTGTACAACGTATGCTTTCTCCTCTCCCTCAGGGGTACTCCCCGTAAAATTCCCACAACCAATTCACCCGTGCACCACCCATATTCCCTCTCCTGTTTGAATGTGTTAAAATTGTAAAGATGAAAATATTTTAAGTAAAAATAAAAGGAGTTTAGAAGTCCTAAATTCAATCTTCAGTTTGGCTACTAATCAGTCATACGTGGTCTTTTTTGATTAGTTCCCATATAAAGAACACGTGTTACATTAGTGCTTTAAGGACCTGATGTTCCCTGAGAGCCTCAAATGTAATTATCTTTGTCTTTCCTAAAAGTAAAGGAAGGCACGGGCCCCTCAGCTCTGTTATCTGACTACAAAGTCTGACTGGCAAATGTAGAACTAGGTTATCATTATAAAACTTTATACTGTTTCTCTTCCCCTCTCTATCCTCAGAAAAATGTCCATTTTTAGCTCTTTCTTTGGTAGTCAAAAGCTCTTTTATTATGCTTTCAGGTGGAGATATTGGTATTTATAATTAGTATGACCCAGAGAACATTTTTCCTCTGTGGTTTACCTTACCTACACAAACACTACTCTAAGAAAATGATAGAATTCCTTGAATTTGAACAACAGAAAATCACTAAAATTCTTTTATTTTCTCACATCAAATTATTCATTTTTTCACTCTCAATGCAGAGTAACATTCACAGGGCCTGACCATGCTCTTCTTTCACAGCAGGTAAAATGAAGATTAGCAAACTCCAGGGTGCCACCTTTTTCTTCTTTTTCTTGTCCAGTGTCCAGGTTAGCCCTAAATGCTTCCCTCCCTTCAGGCCTTCACCAACATGGACATTTTGTTTAAACAGAAATAAATATTAACTGGTGCTTTGTGCTGCAAAGCAGTGAGGTGTTCATGGTCTCTTATTTCCCATCTGATAAGCCTTGTCTTTAGGGGCTGTGGGCATGCTGAATCTCAAAGATTCCTGCACTCAGCTCTTCTGGGGATTTTCCTTCTGGTAGTGTAGTCAGCATCCCGACCAAGATAATGGTACATTTTAGATGAAGGAAAGAGAAAACAGAAAATTGATAAAACTAGACACTTCGGCTTTTAGATTCCTCTGCCTTTGATTCTAAAGGAAAGAAAACTCTAAATCAGTCTGCTGTGCCAACCAGCTAAAGTCAGGTGCAGAGGGAATTAATTTACTGAACTGGGAATGAATCAAAGAAGTTCTGCTTAGCAAGATGAAGTTAAAGTAACAACAAGATTTCATAAGCAAATATGCACAAAAGACCATGAAATAAGGAACATACAAAAGAAAACAACTGTGTTAAATATGAGAATGTCCTCTCTCTACTAAATTTCTGCTCTGAATTAAATGCATTTATGTTGTAAACACAATGATAATACTGTGCTTTAGAATAAAATGATAAAAAGCATAGTCCCCCTTTGTTGAGTATACTTGTAATTCCATTTATTCCTCATCACCACTCTGCCAGTTTTGATGAATTTTACTTCAAGATGAAGAAACTAGGGTTTAGAGAAATCAAGCCACACAGCCAAGGCTTCCTACAAACAACTGTGTTCACACCCACTTGGTCTTACCCGCCACTCTTTGGCTTCCGACCTGTCATTTTTGCAGCTGCAGCACCCCCAGACCTCTGCCATCTTACCATGGCGCCTTCTTGACGGTGGCTTTCTAGAGCTCACTAATCCCCTTTCCTCCCTCACATGATCCGAGATGGAACTTCTTTCAGAGAAGACTCCGTGAAGATGTCAGGAAATAAGGATGTTACTTGCAGGCATTTATAGGAAAAGTCTGATCACTTTTATCCAATTTCCAGCTGTCTGATTCCCTTCATTGCATCCAAAACTGCGTGTTTTTCCAGCTGGACGGCATCCAGCTGGTCATCTGTTGATGTGAACCACCTAAAGGGACATGTGAACCTAATTACATGCGACACAGTGAATGTGACAAGCGTGCCCTTATCTTTACCGCATACATGCTAAGAGGAAGCTGAAGGGCAGATGAGCAGCCGAAATGGGACAAGCTGTCTCTGACAAAAAAGAAAGCCAAGCTGCCAGGCTCTGCTTGCAGTTTCTCTCCTCCTGGCTGCCAGAGCTCTCTGTGGATCCTTGTGGATCCAATTTGTGCAGCAGAGACTTTTTGCCTTGTTTTTCGTACCAGTTTAAAAAGCAGTGACTCAGACTGAAATCATGTTCTTTGTCAGTTCTTACTGAAAAACAAATTGAATTGAAGATACAAGAGTTCATCTTCCCTTTCTCTGCATTCTGTACATGCTTAGTAGTTTTCTCAAAAGGCCAAAAAATCAATGTGGACATTTCAAATATAAAGTTGAATAGAATTGTGTGTGTGTGTGTGTGTGTGTGTGTATGAACGCTAGGGAACCATGGGAGGTTTCTGAGCATCCAGGTGATTCAGGAATGGCAGTGCCTTGGGAAGACTAATCTGGTGATGTTGGTGGATAAATTGGAACAGGGAATAGAAAGACTCCCCTGAAAGCTGGGGACCTGTTGGGCTGTGACAATAATCTGGGCACAAGGAGAAGGGGAAGAAACCAAGCCAGGATGTGGGAGAATGGAAAGTGAAATATGTTTTAGAAGGAAAATTTATTTCTCCACTGACTAGAAGGACAAAACACAAAGCATATTTCAGATCAAGCTTGAGCACTGTGAGAATTGTGAGAGCTGTGGAAGAGGCCAGGCAGAGCCGCTGGGAGATAGCCGGAGAGGATGAGCTCTGGTTTGGACTCCCTCGGAGTGCACAGGTAGGGATTTGTGCCTGAGTTACAGCTGGGGCGTCATCCGTGAGGACCTTCTTTCAGGACGAAGGTTCAGAGACAGAAAGAAGACAACTGAGGAAAGAATGTTGGGAAATATTTTTATTTAAGGTTTAACTGTGATAGATGAAATTTAATAGAACACATGAGCATAAAGCAGATAAATAGAGAGTTTGCATCTATCATGGTGCTTAACATGGAGTGGACCTTCAATGAGGTTTTTTTTTTTTTTAATTTTCATTAACATTTATAACACTGTATAAGTTTAAGGTGTGTAGCATTACAAGTTAGCAGATTCAATTAAGTTCATCACTAAAACCCAGTTCTAAGGATGAATGACTATAAGTATAATATGAAACCATCAAAGGAAATGAGAATTTCAAGATGGAAGTGGTTTGGCAGAGTTGTTAAAATCAAAAGGTAGAAAAAGAGAAACAACAAAAAAATTATTTGGTGTATCAACTGTAAGACTTTGATTGCCTTTTGGGTATTTTTTAAAAAGGTGAAAGAGTTTAAGGTGTGAGTTAGTGGTAAGGCAATTAAAACTATCATTTTTTTTGACTACTAAAATTTAAAACAATGTGAGGATGAAGGACAGCAATTCTCTCATGTAGGTAATCATACAGGATAAAGTTCTCATTTATTTTAATGTGGCGTTTGGAACTTTGTGACACGGTGGTTGACATTATCATTTCTTAGTGCACTTCACTGATGTTCAATTTGAAGCAACAGCTGTAAAAGACTGAGGCAGGGTGTGTGTGGAGTCTAGGTATATTTAAATCTTATTCTTTTACTGTACTATAAAATGCTCATTTATTGAAAACCTGTTTATAAAGAGGGGATCATGGCAAATTACAAGGTCCATGTGTCCATGAGGAAGAAATCTGCCCTGAAGAAGTGTAATTATTTCTTCTTTGGCTCCTCATAAAGAAGACATTTTGTTAATATTGATGAGCAACATCCTTAAAATAAAAATAGCAATGAGTTTCATAGGGCTGCTTCTGTTAGTGTCCCTTGATGTAATTAGATAGCAGAAGGCCAAGTATAAATTCAGTGAAATAATTCGACCAGGATCCAGCAATTCAGGCAAGGACATAACAGTTAGCTGTTCTGGTTTAATCCAGCGATAGATTTTGGCCTTTGAGGGAAATGTTGGGCACACCCTTCAGAGTGGCTTCCATAAATAATTTTTTCTTTGCTCAGTTGAGCTTTTGATAGCCAGTGAGTTAGATACTTCCTGTCAGATACCAAGAGTGCAGATATTTCAAGTTGCCAGTTATGTGAAACCATATGCTTTAAAAGGCAGCTGAGCCTGAGGTAGGATTGCCATCCTGAGGGACCTGCAGGAGACACGTGTGTGGATTGAAGGCCTCTCCCATCTCCACACAGAGGAAGATGGAGAGCCTTTCAGTAAAGCAGTTTTGAACTTGTTCTAACAAACAGAGCAAAATAAAATAAAATAAAATAAAACTCTCAAGGCCTGAAAGCTTAAGGAAGCCCCAAAATATACCAACTGTGAAAGAAACCAAATGACTGGTGATAGAAATCTAGCTTTGGGGCCTCTCCTGGTGGCGCAGCGGTTGAGTGCTGGGCTGCGAAGCTGCCTGCAGTCTCTGCAGCGCCGGTTCGATCCCAGCCGCCGGGCGAGGGTCCCACATGGCGTGACAGACCTCTCCTGCCATGCCCGCTGCTCCCCTTAGCAGTGTATTTCATTGGTCTGCCTGTTCTGCTCCCTGCTCTGGCCCTGGTAAATTCTCTCACCCTCCTGCGCTTCTGACTATATCCAGTGCTTGTATAAATAAATAAAAATAAAAATCTTTAAAAAAAAAAAAAAGAAATCTAGCTTTGTCTGTGACCAGATTTGTGGGCTTAGGAAAGTGTGTTAATATCTCTAGCTTTTAGTTTCCTCTTTTGGGCAGAGAGGTAATATAGGTACTTCTCCTAACTCCTTTACAGGTATGCCATGAAAGACAAATGCAACTGCTTTTATGAATGTTTTATAAATCACCTATGATAAAGTAAAGTTCTCCTCTCTGATAACAGCAAGCAAAGGAGGAGACACTCTGACAGGAAACTAAAATTTTTCTCTGAGGGCTTTGTCCTAGCAGCCTGACACCCCATCTAGCAAGCAACTTGATATTATCCTTGTCAGACTTTGAAAAGTCTTCAAAATGTTAATCATTCATCACTGCTGCATTTCTGCTTAATTGCTGCTTGTGCAGCTAACTTTTGCTTTGTGTTCCCTTCCATATCATCTGCATTTAATAATCACAGAAAGTTTATTAAAATGGTTTAGGTAACATGAGACATAAAGGAGTAAGTCTCCCTCCACAGAATCATAAATTAGAATATTTAATTTTTAATATTTTGTTTGATGTATGTAATATCCTTCCTTTATATAAATAAAGAAATGTGGATTTCAATACTCTGACCTTCAGTTTCACATGGTTAAATCTTAACCTTCCCTAACTTAGCTTCTATATATGCTTGGAAATGTTTCCAATTTCAACTCCACTTCTTTTATCTTGAAAATACAAAAAAGATTCTCATCATTGTTTCTTCTTTGTTTTTCCGTCCCCGTTATGAATTCCACTTCACCACTTTCCTATTCATAACATTCTTGCACCTCACTGGGTTAATAAATTCTTTTGACACCTACTGCCCCTTCTCTCCCTGGCTCTCCCTCCTCCAAGAATGGTGCCCATCAATATTGCATGCTAGGGGTGTGCTTGGAGAGCACAGGTCTGACAGGGCCCGACCCAGCAGGGAGTCTTCTCCCTTCTGTTCTACTCAGTGATGAGAAGAGACCCTCCTCCTTCTGCCTCGAGCACCGGCTGCTGACAGCAGACTGAGAGACAGATGTTTCCAATCCCGCTATATTTTAAGGACCACTTGAAATGGATTTCATTTTAGCCTCCTTCCTTAAAAGTTTAATGCTCTCTTCTTAAGGTACAATTGTAACTAGAAGGTAAGAGCAGTTCTCAGGAAAGTATAGTCATTACTTTTTCCCCCAGTAGGAAAAGTAAAATTAAATAAGTATAAGGTTACTGCTTAGGGAGGATAATGTGATTATCAACTAAGACACAATGAAAAAAAATCTTCACTCATGTTCTAAGAGAATGAATTTCACAGTGGAAGGAAGGAGGGCAAGCTGGATTTAGAGGAAATGAAAACCAAGTGTTAGAGGGGCTGGTCATGAGTTTTCAAGATACTGATAATCTACTAACTCTTTACATCTCCAAGTATTTTGATAAGTTTAGATTAAATAAAACAATTGTTTTGCGTTGAGAATGAAGACAATATTAACTAAGACTATATATATATATATTAATCTTCTAAATAGGAAGGGTAAAAAAATAGGTTGGTGAGGGCCTGGTGAGATTTTGGAGTGAGAGAGGTCAATGATAATTGAGTTTTGTTAAGGGGAAAAGTTGACAGATTTCATTCATTCTTACCACTGATCATAATTGTCAAGAATTGAGAAATCTCTAAAATTTGAATTTACTTGAGAGCTACCAAGCTGCCTGCCAGTGTTTTGTGATGTTGATAGATGGCACAAAACCCCTGTGTCAGAGCCATTAGTCACGGCTATTGCACTGTCCACGCAATCATCATTTTTGTACAATCTCCTAAACCCCCATTCTGAAAAAGTGATGGAAAGAGAGCCAGATGGCATCTATACTTGGTGGTTGCATTCCAGGAAAGGACCCCTGAGTTTAGGGGTCTTGTGTCTTTTATAATGAAAAGTATACGAGTTGAGTATGGCTGCACTGTGTCATCCAGAAATAGACTCTTTTTTTTTAACTTCTAGAGGCAAATACTGTGCAAATACCCCTGAAAAAAAAAAAAAAAAAAACATCAGAAATGTGCAGAGACATGGAGAGATCCATGGAGAATTGTCAGCCCACAACATGAAAAATATAATAGCGGCTATTGAGTGTTAAATGAGAGTAAGCCATAGATATGAATGAAATTTTCAACTATGTAATATATAAACCATAAGCAAAGACCAAAAAAATCCATTTCAAATAGTCATCATATTTATAAAGAATTTGACATGCCCTTTGTAGTATCCTTGTGAGTGAAGTGGAAAGATATGAACTGGGCAATATACATTTTAATATACTTATATTTGGCTGAACTAAATAAATCACTGTATTGATGTCAGATTGGAGAGAAGCTTCAAGTTGTGCCCTTGAGAAGGTTTCTGTATTTGCCCTATTCTTGCATTATAGTGTTATCAGTGATTGGAATGAGAACATAAATTGATGGAGGATAAAAGATTGGAAGAAATGGCCAATATTTGGAGGAAAGACATTGCATTAAAAAATAGATGGCCTGAAAATTTCCCTGAAGCTATTATAATGAAATTAAATAGCTAAATATGAATTTCTGTACTTAAGTTCAAAAGCCATCATTACAAACCACAGGATTATAGAGACATAAGAGCCTTTCATATTAAGAATACAAGAGTGGTTAGCTTTAACAAATTACTTAACCTTCTTGGGGCTTCATTGCCTCATTTTTAAAGAAGTGATTAACCATAGTATCTCTATCTTCCCATCTAAATCAAGTCTGATAAATAATATTTATAATTACTTGATTGAGAATACACCAACATAGTAACTTTATGAGACATTTATATAAATGCATAATCCAAATCAAAGAAAATAGTAGTCCCTCTATATTTTCTACTTAAGTTCCACATTCATTTCAGGATGTCCCACTTTAGTAAAGGCATTGAAACACTAACAGACATCTATATGAAAATGAAGATAGAAATAGAGGGAAATATCTTAAACCCATGATTTGAAGTTGAAAAAAAATGTGGCTGTTTGGTCTGGAATAAAGAAGACTTTTTAGCAACGTCATAACAATCTCTAAATATTTAAAAGGATTTCATGCCAAAATGGAGAGGAAGTAGGTCAAGGATATATGGAGAGAAATGTTAGAATGTGTTCACTCTAAGTAAGACTGTTTTGTGGCTTTGAGTTGATAATAATGAGGTAGCAGAATATAGGTCTGGATGTGTCTAAAACACCCCCTAACCACAGGTCAACATATTGTAGAAAGGCACCTGCTTTGAATGGAAGGTGGTACTTACAGACCCTGAGGGATTTCCCTCATCTAAACTTCTGCGAGTCCGTGATCTCTTACACCATGCTTTTCTGACAGGGTAGTTTAAGTGCTGGTGCTGAGAATACATGGTTATAATTAGTACCACAGCACTTGCTAGTTGTGAGACTTTGGGTAATTCACTTAACACATTGCAACTACTTCCTCACATATAAACTGAGAAGTTGGGTTAAGTTACACATTTGCTTAATGATTTCCATCTTGTTAGTAAAAGATTTAAGACAATATTTTTAAAAATGTGAAATAAAAAAATTTGGACTTTGAAGGTTCAGATTCTGCATATGAAGAATACGAGTAGAGATTTATTTTTTTAAACATTATAGAAATAAATCTGTGTTTTTTTCCTGGACATATTTGAAAGAAATATTCTGCTTTACTAGCCTGAATTATTCCTAAAAAATCATTTGGAAGAAGTTTACCTTTAGGGTGTCCTTATTCTGAAGTGATTTAAAAAAATATATTAGGTCTTAAAAAACACAAAAGTATTTAAAGCCTGTGATACCAATGACAAGTGTTTTCAGAAAAGGCGGTTATATAACCTCTTAAGGACTCTGTTCCATCTCATTCCATCCCAAAGTCTCTAAACGCAAGTTCAGAGGAAGTTAGCAAAGACAGACCTTATGTCTGAGGCAAAGGAATCAAAGAGATGTGGTCAGTTGCCTGTTATAATCCTGTTATAATAAAGCCCTCCGGTCTTGCAAGATCAAAATCTTGTATAAAGAGAAACTTCCCTTTTAATTTTAACTCCCTACCCTACCCCCCAAAAAAGAAAAACTCCAAGAAGAAACTATCTATACAACTTTTGATCTACAATCCCTAAGTATGCAGCACATGAATACTATGGAATATCGCAGACAACATTCTGTGCTCTCCTCCTAGGCCACCCATGGAGGATACTCAGACACTTCTGAGCCCTGTGGTGAGCTGTGGACCTCCGGGGGCTCTTCTGACCCGACCCATCATCCTCACCATGCATCACTGTGCAGACCCCAATACTGAGGACTGGAAGATACAGCTCAAGAACCAGGCCCCTCAGGGACAGTGGGAGGTGAGCTTCTGTTGAGATGAAGATGGAAGGCAGGAGCATGCTAGGCATATAAACAGGAACAACTATTGGAAAGTTTTTATCAAAATCTGTGGAATTTTAGTTTGCATTCAAAGTGAAAGAAAAGGAAAGAGAGAGGGACAGAGATGGGGCAGAAAGGAGGGAGCCAGGGTGGGGAGAGAGATACTGATTCCTAAAATGCTTTATCTACAGGTTTATTGGCACAAAGAAATGAAGGTCAAACATTAGCTAACTCACAGAGAAAGTTCTACAAAAGTCCCTATTAGAATATATTGCTATATATTGGAATGGGGAGTTACATATATGTTTGTGTATGTATGTAATTTTTAAAAAGTCTAAAAGCATAGATTATCTAAAAGCTTACATAAAAATGACAGAAAAGTATCGTAAAGGCGTGAGGTCTGCCATGTCACTCTTTCCATAATGTCTGAGAGTTCAGATCATTGAGGAAAAGCAGTGTGTTTGGAAAATAATTGGTAGGTGAGTTTGGAAGAACATCGTGGAATGGTATAGTTTAATACCTTCTTTTTACTAATTCTTTTCAAGCCTCTAGATTTTTAAGGAAAAAAAAAAAAACTACCATGCTATACTACATTGAAATGAAATAGTGTCTTTGGGTTAAAGAAGAAATTATTTAAAAAGATTAAAACATTAAATTCTCCCAAGCAGATGATAAACTCAGCAAATTGAAGTTAAAAGGATACTTTATGTATTTCCTTGGGAATTTTATGTATATTCCAGTAATGTAGACTCTTAGGAGGTAAGAAATACTAAATAAATGCAATTGAAAAATAACCATAGTATTGGGATAAAGACAAGGGAAATAAAGGAGATAATGATGAAGAATGGAAATAGAGGTATAATAAAACCTGAGGAAGGAAAGAGAGAAGCAGCAGCAGCAGAACTCAGGAGAAGAGGTCCCGCCTCCTCCCCACTGCTGACGGCCTCCTGGGAGGCTCAGCCTCGGCCTTGGCCTCTACCTCAGCCTCTTCTTCCCCTTGTCCCTCAGGATGTGGTGGTGGTGGGAGAGGAAAACTTCACCACGCCCTGCTACATTCAGCTGGACACCGAGGCCTGCCACCTTCTCACAGAGAGCCTCAGCACCTATGCTTTGGTCGGTCAGTCCACCACCAAAGCGGCTGCCAAGCGCCTGAAGCTGGCCATCTTCGGGCCCCTTTGCTGCTCCTCTCTGGAATACAGCGTCCGCGTCTACTGTCTGGATGACACCCGAGATGCCCTCAAGGTAAGTGGCTCCGCGTTCCCCTCCTCGCTCACTCTCGCAGGAAGCCCAGGTCTGGCATGCCCACAGCACCCGGAGAAGGTAGATGTGTATGCACCCACCCGACTGTGTGAACTCTGTGTTTGGCTCCGAAAGATGCAGTAAAGAAAATAAGACATTTCTCCAAGGCCATGCTAATAAATGAGCTGTTTCCTTTATGCTGATTTCTCCCAAGGGCTACTTTTGTTTACCTTCCTTGATTTCTTTTAATGAAAAATTTAGAAGTGGAAGAATCTGGCACAGAGATCCATGGATGGTAAATAATCTGCTTCTGTGTTTATCTCAGCTGTGTTCTTCCTATAAAAGGAATTGGCATAATTGCTCTCACTGTATGTTCCTCTTGTGTCCTACTTCATTTATATGCTTTCCCATTCTTTTTATGAGGACTGTGAGGAAGAGGGTTAGCATTTGACAACAGGCTGCTGCTTTGCAAAATAAATGGGCTTAATTCCTGGTGCTATTATTGCCTTCATTTTATCCCATTTGAAGCTTTAGAGGATATAGTAAGTGTCTTTGAAGAACTTATGATCTAGAAGGAGGAATAAAAGAAGTATGCCAAGGACGGGGAGCAAAGTCAGACTGTGATAAATGCCATAGATAAGAGGTAATGTTCTGTTGGAGTTCGGGAGAGGGAAGCATCCTGTTATTTGTAGGAAATCTAAAAAGGAATTAGATTGACCCTAATGGAAAGTAGGATTTGACCAGCAATAATGGGAAAGAAAATACAAGATTTGTCGGTGGAGGGAACAATGTGGAGAAGCACAGAAGGAACAATAAATAAAGACTTTATGCAGGCATATTCTTTCCAATAAGCCTAGAGTGATAGATAGGACCTTGGCTGCTGGAGAAGAGAGCTGAGGTTTCTTGAGTTAATGGAGAACCATTACAGAGATTTAAAAGGAAGAAAGACATGATTAGAAATATGTTAGAAATATTAGTCTCACTTCAGTGGAAAGATAGTGTCTAGTGAAGACAAAAAGCCTGGGAGAACCAGGCTAATAACAAAAAAAGGAGCAGAGGGAGATCAGTGTGAATCCCTGTGAAAGAACCTATCCCAGTAGCTTTCGCAGGGTCTGATGACTAACCCTGAGTGGGAGGAGCAGAATATCAGGTCGGCCTCTAAATATGAGTAGCAAACAGCAGAAGGCAGCCTTGGGGAACGGCGATGGTGCATTTGCTTTTGGACTATTGACGTGGAAAATGAATTAGACATCAGGACAACTGTGCCCAAGAGAGAGTTATAAATATGGATGTGGCTCACTGATCAGAGAACAGGTCCTTCAATAGAGACTTAGGAACCAAGTATATAATGTTGATATTTATCATCTACGGGGAGAGTAGAGGGATAAAGTAGTAAGAGTAATAAACCTTTCTGAGAGCTTCATATGTTCTGGGCAAGATTCTAAATATATCCAATCATTTAATCCTTACAAAAACCCTATAAGATTCCATCACCTCCATTTTACATGCAATCTAAGGCACAGAAAAATTAAGTGTCATTCTTGATCACATAGATCTGAAATGGCCAACACAGGCTTCTTGCCCAGGCAGCTGGCTGCAGATTGTACTGTTAAAGTGGACTGCTTGAAGAGTCACATGCTAGAACATGGGCACCACGGGGAGCCCTTCCGTTGCAAGGGTAGAGAAAGGGCAACCAGCAAAGGGCAGCCAGCAAAGGAGCTACAGAAGGATGAGCACCTAGAGGAGGAAAAGGAAAAGTTGGAGAAAAATGTCTCAAAGCAATCAAGGGAAGATTTTTTTTTTTTTAACAAATCAGGGTATTTCTTTCTAGAGTTTCTATTCAGAGAATAGTCATGGGTTGTGAAAATTAAATGTTGCAGGTCAGGTCCATGGAGAGGTGAGACATAGTAGGTCACTGGATCTATTTTTGGATGGTCAAGAGTGTAGGGGTTTCTGATGTTGAGTAAATGGTATGAACCCCCAGAACTTGTGAAAACCTTAAGGTTATTTCTTTTATATTCCTTGCACATGTAATACTTCTAAGGCACTGTCAGCATAATGCTTTAGAAATCATCCTAGGCTTAAAATCTTCTTAGGGAAAACTGTATATATCAGGGAGCCTTGGGGTCTGATTAAGACAAATCTTTTTAACATTTCCAAGAAAACTTATTTCAAACAGCATCCTCTAGAAGACCTATGTCACATTTGAAATACTTAATACACATATATTTTATTTTTTATTTTTTTAATATTTTATTTTATATAATTCTTACATCATTTTTCATTTTTGAACAATGTATGCATTTTCATTTTGGTTATATGCCCTATACAATTGCACCCCCCCTTATTTTGACACTAGTCCTTCCCTTCTCCACCCTTCCCTTTTGCCCCGCCCCCCCATGGTGTGTCTCTGGTTTATATGAGATCTGATTAAGACAAATCTTTTTAACATTTCCAAGAAAACTTATTGCAAACAGCATCCTCTAGAAGACCTATGTCACATTTTAAATACTTAGTATACATATATTTTATTATGCATATATTTTATTAATCACTTAGTTCTTATACTCAGATGAGCTTGACCTTTCATCCACATAGATATACACAAATCTATGCAAAAATGTAGTACTTCATAAGATAATTTGACTGTTTTAATTAGTAAAAAGATATACAAATAGTCAATACTGAGAAAGAAAAACAAATAGGCTTAAGCAATAAAAACAACCCAAGAGCAATGCAAGCCCATTGCTTTCCAAATAGACATTTATAAATTCCTAGCATCTGGGGATCCAGCATATTAGCCTAAAACAAACATGAATAATGGATATGGCATTCTTGCACCTTGTCACCTTTAAATAATGCAGAAACACCAAAATTCTAGTTATAGGTAAATAGTCTATCCAATATGCCAGAAAGACAGTTCAGTCCCACCGATACTCACACACAAGTTTGAATTGAAACCCTGGGGCTGATTCTATCAAAAAGGCTCTTTATTACCAAATTCTGTCTTCATGGAATCCTGCATGCTAATTGTCTCTGTCACTCTACTCCCATCTCCTTGCTTCTTGAATAGCTGTCACCTATACATACTTATCTATTCATGAAATATTGTATTATATTTTATTGAGATAATGTTGGTTTCCTACAGTGTATATGGCTTACAGCTGTAGGTTCACAGCTCTTCAAATGTATGTTACCATACCAAACCCACCACCCAAGTACCCTTAATCCGCCAACATAAACCACTGGGGCCTTTCTCCCCTTTGCTTTCTATCCTACACTCTCTCCCCTCTAGTGGCCTCAATTCTACAGTCAGATTTCTAGGGTTTGGCTTGGTTTAGTTCTGACTGTCCTTTGTTTTGTTTTTCTATATTCTACATAGAAGTGAAATTGTTTAGCATTTGTCATTCTTCTTCTGACGTATTTCACTTAACATAATCCTTCCTGACCCATTTCGATCCACTCTGTTTTTCAGGGACAGGTTTTCTTCTTTTTTATAGCTGAATAATATTCCACTCAATATATGCTTCCTTTTCTTAATCCACTCATTGTCACCAGGTATTTAGTTTGTTTCCATAACTTGGTTATTGTAAATAGTGCTACAGTTAACAGAAAAGTACATATATCACTTTGAATGTGTAGTTTTATATTCATTGGATAGGTACTTAGAAGTGGGATTGCAGAATCCTGTGGTAGATCTATTTTTTAATATTTTGAAATACATCCACATGGTTTTTCATAGGAGCTGAACCAGTCTACATTCCCACCAAGAGTGGATGAGGCCCCATTCTCCTCGTCTTCACCAACAGTTGCTGTTTCTGGTCTTTTTCTTATGGACCATTCTCACAGGTGTGAGGTGGTATTTAATTGAGGTTTTGATTTTCATTTCCCTCATGATAAGTGATAAGTATTTATGCCTTTTGGCCATTTGTATGTCTCTTTGGAGAAGTATCCATTTAACTTCTCTATCCATATTTTGATTGGGTTGTTTTCCTGCATTATATGAGTACTTTGTAGATTTAAGATATTAACCCCTTTTTAAAATATAAGATGTGCAAAATTTTTCTCCCATTGCCTGGGTATCTTTTTGCTTTATTTTTTTTTTAATTAATGGAATATCATTATTGTACATCCTTGCTTGTTTTTTCAAATTATAAGATTTCTCCCCTTAGTGTGGTCCCCATAGTTTCCCCACCACCAGAGTGCCCATAGTTATCTTTTCATTTTCTGTTGTATTGGCTTGTGTGTCTGTTTTTGTTCCAGTGCTACTCTGTTTTGATTACGGTTGCTTGGTAGTGTTGTTTGAAGTCTGGGAGTGTGATATTCCTGTTTTTTTTGTTGTTGTTGTTGTTGTTTTTTTGGTCAGGATTATTTTGGCTATTCCAGAACTATTTTCTGTCTTCTTCTATTTCTTTCAACAAATCTTACGGTTTTCATATACAAGTGTTATACCTTCTTTGATGAGTCTATTACTAGGTAGTTAATTCTTGTCTGATGTATACAAAATGAGATTATTTCCTCGATTTCTTTCTCTTATAGTATATCGATTGCATGTAGTAATACAAATGATTTGTTTTGGTATCAGTTTATGGCAAGCCACTTTACTGTACTGATTTATTGTTTCCAATAGATTTTTTAGTGGGTCTTTAGGGTTTTCCAAGTATATTCTCATGTCATCTGAAAATAAATACTAGCTTTTGTATCCCCCTGTCCAAATGTCTCCTTCTTCACTAGTGTTCTTCCTAAAGGTTCTCAGTCACCAGCATATCAGAATCACTTGGGAAGTTTTTTTTTTTTTTTTTTTTTAAGGCTAACAGACTTTTTTTTTTTTTTAATTTATTTATGTATTTATACAAGCACTGGGTACAGTCAGAAGCATGGGAGGGTGAGAGAATTCACCAGAGCCAGAGCGGGGAGCAGAGCAGACAAACTGATGAAGTACACTGCTGAGTTGATCAGCAGGTGCCAGGAGAGGTCTCCGTGCCATGTGGGACCCTCGCCCA